CAAGTCCTTCTCCTCAGGGCTGCTCTTCATCAATTCTCTGCCCAGCTACCATGTTGGCTGTGCTCTGCAGGGGATGGTAACACATGTGCTGTCACAGGCTCTGCGGATGTTTGTCTGGAGGTGTAGCATACGAGCAAATACAGCAGGTGATCTCCTACAGCAGCTGGAGCACACAACATTTAGAACAAAATCATACAAACTGATGAGGTGGCCTGTACAATGTACCTGGACTGATGAAATACCCAGCTGTGTTTCATCAAGCTGTGACAGCAGCGCTGCTGAACTAAATGCTGAACGAACTCGTGATGCCTCCTCTGTGCCTCAGTTTTCCCATCTACAGAAAACAAAGCAGGGCTAACACTACCCTTCTCCTCTGTAAAGTGCTTTGAGATCTGCTGATGAATAATATTATTAAAAAAAAAAAAAAAAACTGTACGTAGGCAAAAAGCACACGCTGGGCTCCGACTCCCATCAAGCCTGGCTAGGTGGTCCCCCATCTTTCATTTGAACTGGGCATGGAGCGATTTCCTCCTCCAAAACCCCAGGCACAGTGTCCAACCCTAGCAGCAGTGTAGGCAGGAGAAGGGCAGGACCCACATCACTAGCACTACAAAGACCAGGAGTGAACACAGAGCTATAAAACAAGCAGGTCACAGAGGAAACTGGAACCAGTAAGCAGCTGGGAGGGTGACAGCTCAGCAGCCTGACGGAGCAGGTGTTTGCTCCCCAAACACCACAGAGCAGTGGTGGTGCAGCCAGGAGAAAAGCCACGCTGCTTTGCTCTTCCAGGAGCAACTGCTTTTTGTGGAAAAAACTGACCTCAGCACACAGGGTGATGTGGCTGAGCCCGCTCCATGCATGCGGTTTCCCCACATTGTTTGTCTCCAGACTTGTTTTCTACATCGAAGTGGTTTTTAATTGACTTCCGCTAAGATCTGCTTCCAGAACAGCTCATCAGAGAGGAGCACAGAGCGTGATGCTTGGAGAGGATGCCCAGGCCTGGGTGCAGCCCTTGAGGAGGGGCAGAGGAAGGCTGAGACTAATTTTAATTGCTGATGAGATCCGGGTTTAATTCCTGGCTCTCTAAACTTTCCACTTTCCGTAACACTTTGGCCAAGTCATTTCAATTCAGAACCACTTGGCAGTGAGCTGCCAAACCCCCCATGTCATTTGGGAATTAGACACTTCAATACATCTGTGGATCTGGGACGTGATTTAGGCTGTCAGTTATCCAGCCTTCATAACCACGCTTTTCCTCTCTCTCCCCCACGATTTCCACCTTCCGTCTTCTGCTGTGTGACCCTCAAGGCAGAGGTACCTTTTTTAGGTGCTTAATAAAATGGGACCTAGGCTTTTAGAGAGCTCTCTGCTTTCCAGGTTTCCTAATATCTTTTTTTTCCACATGAAAGTCCTAAGAATTGGGTGGTGTTGCTCTCTGCTGCTTCAGCAGCTGCTGTGTTTCACCCAGGAAACAGCTGTTAAGCAGTTGGTATATTTTTGTCATGGATCATTTGACAAAAGTGCCAAGATAAGAATTGAAAAGTCTAATTTTAGGTGGTCAAGTCTCTTTTCTGAAAGTATTTGTTTATGCAACCTGCAAGCAGAGCGTGATGCTGAAGTCAGTACAGCAAGGCTGCACAATGCCACATGAGCTCTTCAGCTCTTGTCCTTGAGGACAGGCAGGACATCACCACAATTCCCCCCAAAACTGCGAGGGAAGGAGAAGAGTTCAGTGAATCCAGGGTTACACATCATCGGGGATAGACAGTCCCTCTCCATCACCAGTTCTGAGCGGACAGGGCCCATCCCAGGCCCTGTGCTTTCATACTGGTGCCAGAGATCCTCCCCTGTGGCTCCATCCCTCTGTGAATACAGACTGGACAGCATACAGACTGGACAGCACGAGCTCTTCTTGAGTCTCATCTGAACCCTGCTGAAGTGTTTCCAGCAGCTGGCATGGGTCTCTGCTACAGCAGTGCTGCTATATGGAGGTTCTGCTGTAAAGTTCGGGTTTTTTAAATGTCAGTTCCTCTCTTTGGTCACCACTCTTTAAATGTCTGTGATTGGCAAAAATAACAGGAAAGCAGAAATGCCTAAAATTCACCTTTTTGTTTGTTTGTTTTACATTATTCTCTTTTTGTGCTGAGGAGCAAGCAGGGTGAGCTACTGGCTCTGGTAACATCTCAGCTGCCATAAGAGAAGGCTCCATGGAAAGACCTCTCTGCTTTCAGTCTAACATTCACATCTAATCTCACAGAACTACTGCAAATAACAGAAATTCAAAATTTTCCTGTTCATTCTCTGGAAAAATTAACCAAGAAGCAGTTAGTGCTGAGTCAGAGCTCAGACACACCTGCAGGTCTGACGGGCTCCCCTGCAGCCCTGCGGCTCTGGTGAGTAATCAGGAGTTTCCCATTACAGCAAGAGCAGAAAGCCATGTTTCCCATCATAAATCCCTCAGCAAGCTCCTCACCTCCACCTAGAACCACACAATCTGGCTATAAATCATTTGCACCCAAACACACAACAAATACCTTGGCAGTGCTTCTGCTCAATGGCGAGTCATTTGAATGGCTTTGATGTTTATTGCAATTACAGCTGCGCTGGCTGCGTCCTGATTATTATTGTTAGCTGTTTATATAGCCAGGGCTCTCCGTGGAGCAGAGCAGGACTGTGCTGGCAGCGGCACCAGGAGGAAACGGTTTCCAGCACCGTTTGCACGAGAGTCCCCTGGGGACATCTGCAGGGAGCTGCGACACGTGGCACTTTTTTGTTCATACCCGTCCTGCTGCCCAGCCCCACAATGTGACTTGGGTCTCATCCTGCTTTGCGCACGTCCGTCCCCCTCCGCTGTTATTCAACTGGGATGCTAAGCACCTTCAGCACGAGAAAACACCTAACATCACAGGACTTTTGATTATTTGAGTTGGCAGGGAAGGCGTAACAAGAAGCAGTGGCCAGAAGTCAGAGCCAGACTTGCTCCACTTTGTAAGAGCGTGTGGTTGTGTTTAGAGAAGCCAGGGCCATTTGTTCCTGAGTAAAGTGCCAAAAGGGGATCTCCATCCCTTGACCTCTTCTCAGCAAGACCAGACACTTCTCCACAGCAAAGCTCAAATGCAGCAGACCAGGGTGAGCATCTACTTGGCCAGGTGAACTCCAGAGACTGAGCACAGGAAAAAAACCTGCTTATTCATCTTATTTACAACAACTCCAAGGTTTAGTTTTGCAAATGGAGAACCCCTTATAAGCCAGCACTCTGGTGTGACCTTCAGCAAGGGGAAGAGCTGTGGTGGAAGAAAGTGTTCAGAATGATCCTCTTCCTCTTGCCCTAGTGCCAGGGATGCTGGAGCTAGCTCATGTCATGGTCTCATCAGGGATGGCAGTACAGGACAATGCCATCTCCCTTGCCCACAGCTTCTTCTCATCCATAGAGGTTCTGTTCAATCTCTCAGATTTCTCCTCAGCTGCACCAAAAACAGTGGAATAAACAGTTAGCTCAGCACCTTTATTCCCCTTTTCCTTTGACAAAGACTAAGTGTAGACAATAGCTCTTTCTTCAGCAATTCTTTATGCTATCACATGCCACGTACACTAAAAAGCACCTGTGATAATTTAAAAAAGAAAATGTGTTACAAGCAGCTACTTCTCCCCATGGAGGAACAGACAATGGCCTCTGCAAGGGAATTTTGGAGAAAGACAAGCTGTTTGGGTTTGGCAGCTCCTAGAGGATATTGGCCCCCATGATGATCTCAGCATGTTATTTTTTGTGCTTAATGGATACAGAGTACCTTAAGGCATTTGCAAACAAACCTGCAGAAATTGTGTTGTAAAGCTGTTTAAGAAGAGGAAGCCCAGTGACAAAGAGAAAACTTGGTAAACTCTTGGGATCAATGGAAACAGCCCAAGTCACTGCACGTTCTCCACAGAGTCAGCTGGGCCCCAGGGGAGCAGGCAGTGCCCCACAGTGTCCCAGGTAACAGGGCTGCAAAGGTGACAAGGCTGCATCCCCCTTCCTCAGAAGAAGCACCTCTACCTCTTTAAGAACAGCAACTGCGTACCCAAAAGATCTTTTTTCCGTTGTATTAACTGATTTAGTAAGCGATATTACATCTGTCCATAATCCTGTCTACATTTCTAGACTGATGTTCATTTAACCTGCTCTTCAAAACCTGTGGAAAAGGATGTCCCATAATTCTCCTACACAATCACTCCTGGCAATTCACTACCCTTATGTCAAGACAGTTTCCTATTGCCCAGCCTCCCCTTTCCTTGCTGCAGCTAAAGTCCTTGTTTTCTGGTCCTGTTCCCAATGGATTTAGAAAACCAGTTAGTCCCAGCATTAAAGATCTGACCATGCCTCCTCTTTTATGGACTAAACAAGACAGGTTTTCCAGCCTGCTGCCCAGTAAGCTAGAAGAGAAAAGCACAAAAAGATCTGAAAAGTCAGGTCTGATTTTCACAGCCAAATCTTATCTATAAAAAGACCATGTTTTATTTTGTATTCACCATGGTTTACACACTGTTTTGGTTCCTGTTTGGCTGGGATTGTTGTCATAAAGCCTCAGACAAAAAAACAGTTATGGCTCCAACACCATTACATGAGAAAAATGAGATCCATCAGGAGCTTGCTACACCCAGATGCTCCCAAGGGGTGGGCTCTTAGCCAAGCCCTGGTAACCCACGTACACTGGATGATAAAGATCTCATTCCAGGTACACACAGCTACCAGGGCATTCATCTGACCTCTTTCAGACACCTACAGCGTAGGTACCTACCATGAAGTTCATCACCTACATCACCTCTACAGCTACTGGTAAGAAACGGGATGTTGCAGGCTGTGGCTGCTGGAGTAAGGTAGAAATGTGAAATAGGTACGGTAAGGTAGAGAGCTGAAATAGGTCAGGACAATAGCATGTCAGAAGTGCCTGGTCCTCTTTGGTGAGAAAGAGAGCCTGGAGAGGAGCAATCTGGCTCATGAGAGATGCAAAGCAGCAGGTGAGATGAAGATGCAAAGCAGCAGCTGAGATGAATCTCACGTACAGGGAGGACAGATTTGGGCTGTAAACAGGTGCACAAGCACTGATCTGCTATGGCTAGTGCTGCTTTGCTGGATGTGCCCTCCTGCCACCCCACAAGGTACAGTAGAGGCATGGCACCTCATCACTGACCACTGCTGCAATGGAGCTACATGGCATTACAGGGGGACAGCGAGCTGCAAGGATTCAACCTTTATTGCTGGCCCTTTTCAACAGAAACCTTTAGGAGCTGTCAGCTCTTGTGGGACTCTGGTGAGATGGATCACCAGTGGGATCAGATCCAGCTGGTTTCTGTAGCTGTAATGTAGTTTCTTTCATTACTCTGAACTACAGGCCGCACCAGGATTACCAGCAATAACCATTTGAAAATACCAATTATGATGTGCATTTCCAAAACGAGAGACTCAAAGTCACCTTTTCAAAGTTAAACCAGTTGGGCTTGATTTGAGCATTTAAAATGCATTTACATTTTCCAGTTCTTGTCTCCAAGTGTGACAACTGGACATTTCTTTTTCCCATTTTAAATGGCAGCATTTTTAGTTGGCATCTCATCATAGGATGATGAGTATCATTGGAATACAGTAGCTGGGGCTAAGAGAAAAACACCAGGGATCCTGAAAGTAGGCAACATGGGGTACTGGTGCAGGGATGCTTTGTCATAAATTCAAAAACCAAAAAAACCCAAAGAAAAACACCTTTCTGTTGAGAAAGTAGGGATTCAGTGCAACATCTACAATTCTGGGAGAGCAAAGCCCTGCATGGACCTACAGGACTACCCACCACTACCAGGGAAGGCAGCTCCAAGTCAGTCCCCAAGCTACAGCCCCCTCAGTCTGTCCAGACTTACATGGCCACAGGGCTTCAGACAGGTTCCCAGGATACAAATACGCAGGACAGAAGGATCAGAGGTAGGAGACAGGAAGGAAAAACAGTCCCATCAGCTCCTGGAAGCCTTTACAAACCTCATCCATCTACTCAGTAAGGTCTCAAGGGAACAAAGCATTCAAATATGTGTCTTAACTCTTTAAACAGCTCCAGAATATTAAGGTCAAACAGCCTTTCTCTGCCTGCTGAGCTGGAAGCAAGCAGCTCATGGGGAGGGAATGACCCCACTGATTTACATGGCCTTGTATTTTCCCTGCAACAGAGGCAGGTGGCTCCCTGAAGGGTTTGGCTCCATCTGGGGAGGAGGGCATTTATCCCGGCTGAATGAACTCCAGTGCTAATTTACTCAGAACCTGATAGTTTTGCATTCAGTGTTTGCTGCTACTTCTTTGCTAATGCTTTTGGGCAAATCATGTATTTCAAAGTCATTCCTACAGTAGATGAGGAACACCTGAACCACACAAGCAGCAAGAACACTAATGTGTTAGTGACAGTCACAGATGAGCACCGCTAATACTCTTTTTCTTTAATTTCAGGTACTACAACCTCCACAGACCCCTCCATCCACATTGTAACAGGTACCTCCTGAGCTGTGATCTGCTTTATATGTCTATTTGGATGTGGATGCAGATGCCCATGTGGGGATGCAAATGGAGAGTTCACCAATGGGAACCAGATTCAAAACTCCCATCCCTTGAAGCACTTTCTCCCAGGACCCTGCCTTGCCCACCTCTGCCCGCCCCATCTTTCATCATTCACCCCCAGATCTCCAGAGGCCATGGAGGGCACTGCGCCCCTGAGAATGGCCTTGCCTTGCTCCTCTTTTTGTTCCAGGAAGCCTAATGAAAGTGGGGGGACCCTGCCTCCTCTTTACTCCCTGTTTGCCCCAGCTAGTTCCTAGCAGTTAGCATGCTCTCCTCCATGGATCGTCAGAGACAAGGTCCCTTTGCCCACAGGTCCCCATAGCCACACCAGTGACAAACTCCCTCCTTAGCATCTCTTGCCCCCATCACCCTTTCAGCTCTTGTTGGCTATAATGGCCCCTTTCCAGCCCATCCTTCAACCCTCCCTACGGGGATCCTGCCAACAAGGAGCATGTGTAGGAGACGTCACCTCCATGTCTCTCTGCTTGTGTTACAGGTCAATCCCAATCAACAACACACAGCCCTGAAGTAAAGAACCATACCTCAGGTAACACTCAGCTAGAGGCCCAAGAGTGCAGCTCAGGGGCATCCTGGCTTGTAACTGGTCTGACCTTCAGTCCAGCTGGGCCATCCAGCAATAAATGGGGCTGTGCAGCAGCAGGTTAGATGAAAACAGTGGTGGAGAAGAAGGAAATGAAAGGGGCCTGTAAGAAAGATGGGGACAGACTTTTCAGCTTATCTCTTCCTGGTATATTTGGAAAAAAAAATCTTTCTAAGCATAGCTACCCCTCCAAAGAGACTCTAAAAGTATAAAGGAAAAAGATCTCCAAAAAATATCAGATTCTGTTTCTATGCCTTGCAGAAAAAAAGAAACTTATTCCTAAATTCAAATATTTTAGTGCGCATTTGGATAAAAGGGGAAAAAAAAATCACACCCTTAAAAGAATCTTCACTCTTTTCTCATTTTTTATTGGGAAGCCAAGAGAAATCTAGACAAGGAATCTGCCTATAAATTCTAAGCTAATGATCCACTCTTCCTTGCAGAGGGCTTATTGAAAACTTTTCCCCACACATCTTGCTCTGGATCATATTCTTGCTATGCAGCTTTGAGTAGCAGGCTGAGGAAGATGATAGAGCAACCAGACCACTGCGAGAACTGAATTGTTAGAGCTTAGAGACTCTCAGTGAAACAAAACATAAAAGTTAACTTTTCAGATAACAAGCAAACAAACCCGTGGGTGCCAGGCAGCCCTAGCCAGTTAAAGTTTCCAGTGACAAAAATACCTTCCTTTTCAAAGTGGGAAAAAAGCGGTGACAAAAAGCAGACTTTCTCCATGTGTCTCTTGAGCTCTTTGAGCTCAGCACCTCTGTACGCTAAAAAAAGAAAAAGCTCATGCCAAAGTACAAGAGCTCCCTGACTCTGAGCAGGACAAAGGCTATTTCCTTGTCTACTTATGCCCGTGCTTTCCCTAGCAGATTATCCATAACTCCCAATGAGTATGAGGACTCTCTGCTATAGCCATGCCCTCCTCCAAGCTGTTTCTGAGCAGAGCTTAGTGTGAGTAGAGCTCTTTGAAGTAATGCTCTTCTTCCTCTACAGAGCCTTCAGTAAAATCAACAACATCGACCGACTTGAATCTCACCTCTGTGGGTCAAACGACTACAGTCAGATCTTTTTCTGTCACTACAACACTGCTAGCAGTGACTGCGCAAGGTAAGTAAGGAAAACTCAAATTTTTGCTCAGGCAGGACCTGTTTGAACATCCCTTATCCAAGCAAAACTGGGGGCATCAGAAAGACTGGGCCAGTCCACACCATGCTATCTATTCAGTAGCAGCAGCTTTTGAATCTCTTTGAGTCTTTGCTAAAAGAGCAGCTCATTCCAGCTCCCCGAAAGCACAGGGACTGGATGTATCCATGACCTAGATGTGGCAGCTGCACAAAGAGCCCGTATCAGAAAAGTTAGATCATGCTTTACCACGTAATGTTTTGTGGAGGACCTACAGGCACCCTAGCAGACCTCTCCCAAGCTCACTTCTCAAGTACACTCTCTAAATTGACTATACCACTTGCTAGCTGGACATCTTGACATTTGTTTGGAGGGGAATTCTCATGCAAACAAAGTTTTTTACCCCATGGCAACCCAACAGCTCTCCATAGGACAGTTAGTAGCAGATTCAAGAGTTAATTCTCTTTTCCCATATTTTCTTTATCCAGATGAAAAGCCTAGTGGAAGCAGAAGCACAGCAGCTTCATCACCTCAAGGTATTTTGTCCTTTTATAGAGTAACAATAAGTTTAGATAATTTCATGGCAATTAGCTTACTTGGTGCAGTTAGCTATGCACAAGTCTTTATCTTGGGGTTGAGCAATTAGTAACATCCAAAATCATGTCTGGCATCCTTACAAGCAGTGATAAAACACAAGACCAAATGCACTTAACATCCTCTGCCTGGGATGAACTTGAACAGTTGAAAGACTTATCTATGTTTAGGAAAAGGGAGCCCTGTTAACACACTTGAAAAAAAATTTTTGCTTTAGACAGTTTGCTCAACCCAGTCTGTAAGCAAAAAATAAAGGAAGCAGTAAGAATTTTCTCAGAGTAAGGGCAGAATCCAAGAGAGTGGGAAGACTGAAGTCTGACAGCTGAGCTTATTTCCCCATTAAAGGTTCAGCCTCAAAAATCTGCAATGGTCAAGACAGAAACTGCTCTGCCTCTCCACACACCTCTCAGATCTTCTCTAACACAAGCAAAGTTAAAAAACTGTGGTCAGCTCTGCCTGCACAGATGTCCAACCAGCATGCCTGGGCCCAGCCAAGCCAAGAGCCCTTTGCATCAGAGCAGACTGCTATTAATTATAACCCTGCTTTGTATCTGAAAAGCTCCATACATCTTTGACAATAGAAACATTGCTGATGCTTCCAAAAGCAAAGTCTCCTGTTGTGTGAGACCCAGCGTTTCCCAGGGACAGGGTATCCATGCCAGGCTCAGCAAACCAGAGCCCACCGCCCCTGGCTAGAAGAACAACTTCAGAATGAAACAAAGGGTTTGATGACTGGTCTGACTCATGACTGTTTTGCTCCATGTGGTTACCAATTTCTAAACCAGTTAGAGTTGTTATTTCATATGGCTTCTGCTTTTTCTTCTGACTTTTGGCAAAATTACATTCCAAACCAGTGATGTTTTCTGCAAGTCAGGAACACCAGTTCCAGCTGCATGCCCCGCAGTCCACTGCAGAGTGCCAGGAGCTGTTTCACACTTCTCCAGGCACCACATACTTTTGGCCAACGCTGCTATTTGAAAGGTGGGGATGGCAAAGGAGGAAAGAAGATCCTACTTGACCTACAGATGATCTTCTGAAGCTCTGTAGCATAATTTTTAGTCTCCTAACAGGACTTGTAGCTCTTCATTAAAGTCAATGTATATAATCTTGCTATTCAACACGCACCCAAGAGGCAGCAAAGGGTTTTTTTCTCTGTACAAGTAAAACACACAGGCTAGCTTTAAATTTGCTTGCACAGGCATTGGAAGCAGCTGTCACAAAGCAAACAGCTTCATATAAGCCAGTTCATCCCACTGAGAACTGGAGTCCTTGCTCAAACAAACCCCGACACTGCCACAGCTAGACTACATATGGTGTACAAGTTAGCCCAACTCAAACTGCCTTAATTACTTCTAGATAACCCAGGACAGCATACCCACTAATTCCAACTCCAAGGACAAGACATATAGTCAGTCCATACCCATATTTTGCAGAATTTCTTCCCCTAAGCAGATTTTTTTAAAAAGGCTCAATATTTATGAGCAAAAGCAAAATCTATAACTTTCCCAGTTCACTTTTCCAGCATTCAACTGCTGTATTTGCTCAAAAACTGCATCTGGGACTGCAGAACCTGAACAGTTATTTGAATTTTGGTTCCCTGACTTCCTATTTGGACATGGAAAATAGTACAAAGTATGTTTGGTGGGAAGGTTTTAGCCCAAGCACGAATTCCGTGTTTTCCCAGATACCACCAGTATTACTATGAATCCGTTCTCCTCTCTAGCATGCCCATTAATTCTTTTGGTTATTAGATGACACTCAAGGACAAGACTCACATTTTGCGTTTCTCTGTGCAGGTCAAGAGCCCAAGAGAAGCGAGAGTACCACAACATTAGCAGCTCAAGGTGCTTTCTCCTTTCTCATATAGAGAGATGGTCATCACTGAGTTCTTTACAGCCCTTTTCACCACCAACAGCAAGGCCATCACACTGCTGTCTTCAAGGAAGCATGGTGAACAGCCAACGAGTACCTGAGGGATGCTGCCCATCCCATCCAGCCCTTGAAAAGCCTGTAAAGCTCCACAGAAGCAGCACTTTGGGGCAACCTGCTGAGCCTGGGAACAGTGGTTGTGAGTCACAGCAGGAAAGGTGCCACTATGGCAGAAGGTTGTAAAATAAGGGAGATGGGACAAGCCTCCCCCTCAAACACACTGCCAGATCAATCCCTCACCTGCCATGCTCAGCTTTGTCACTAGGGCCCCAGCAGAAAACCCTTCAAGTGTTCTCAGATTGTCGATAAAAAGGGCCACACCAAGGCAACCCAATTGCCACACAGGTCTTGGTTACTTTTGTCTTAACATTGATGAGGCTGACCAGGATCCCACATTATTCTCCTCAGTAAAGCGCATGTGCGAGTTAGGTCTTCTAGCATTGCTAGGAATCCTCTTTCCACCTTGAAGAAAGACTTTTATATAAAGCTATCTTTTTCCCCTCTTGTAGGCACCTCAAAGCCAGTCACCCCAACACCAACATTCTCTGGCTACTTGCCTGTGCCCACTCCTACAGATGATAAATCACCACTGACGGTGGCAGCTTTTGGTAAGGTCTCGTGCAACCTGGGGAGAGGATGGGGGGGTCTGTTTTGCTAGGCCATGCTGTTTTAGACACCCAGCTTCAAAGATGCTTCCCTTGAGATGGCTCCACAGTTTCCTTCTTCAGTATGCCTGATCCTGGAGTTTTCAGAGTGCAAGGGAAAACCCTTGAGAAAGAAACTTGTCACCAGAAGGCATTAAAGCACCTAATAAATACCCCCAGCCATGGCCAGTATACAAGGACAGACAACTTTAAAGTCCATCATGGCTACACCTGAGCTTGGGATCTTGCTCTCACCACCAGTGTTTGCCCCAGCTCTGTGTTAAGACACGACCTGGGCACAAACCATGCCATGCTACGCCTTTATTTCCCTGCAAACCTGTTGGGACTTCATTCCCACCCTGCCTTACTGCCTTCCCCTGTACAGTTGCACCCTGTTTGGCAGGAAGCAGGAAAGTCCTCTGCATCCTTCAGAGTATGGAAGGATGGAGCAAGAGATGCCATATCTTAATGTGGCAACAGATTTGAAGATAGGCACAGGTTAGATTTGAGACACACTCTGCCTTGAGTTATAGTGTCACCTTCCTCCACGAAGATGAGCAAAAATCCAATTTGCTCATTTCTATAGCATTATAGAAAAAAGTGTTATTTCAGAAGCATTTTTAAAAGTCAAGAGTTAACTTCATGAGTGTCATTTGCTTGTAACCTCAAAGGGAAGCCACGAGAAGTCCTGAAGCAGTCTTAACAGGACAAGATTCCCATGCAAAGAATATTTTGATTTATTGAGGCCAGATGTCAGAATCACATCTACAGTTGGCCACTGGTTTACGAGACAGATAACATAATTCCTGGTCTTTAGCTTGTCTCTCCCCATTATATTATGTATTTATCTGACTTTATACACCTTTAGGACAGAATTTACCAACTGTAGTAGGGACATATTGACTTCGATCAATCCCCAGTGTACTCAGCTGACTTCTGTCCCCCTGGCACTGCCTTACCAATTAAGTATTCATTAGAAGCCCTTTGAGGCTGAAACACAAGAGGATAAAGCTATTCACTGTAGTGACTACCTACTTCTCTGCTTATTAGGTACCATGCTAATTTTAATGAAAATATTGATTTCCTGTTTTGATGACAGTCAAAGTCTCTCTGCTACCCCAGAAGCGGAGGACAGGCTTGTTGTTATATCAGTCACAGACAGTTCTTTCCTCCATCCCCAGGTGTCATCAGCTTCATAGTTATTCTGATTGTGGTTGTGATCATTCTGGTCAGCGTGGTCAGCCTGAGGTTCAAGTGTAACCGCTCAAAGGACTCAGAAGGTATTTGCCTGGGGCGAT